GGCTTATGATGTTGATAGTGGCCCTTACTTCCCCTGCACTTTTAGCCCACTTAAAGTTATTTTTCTATGTCTGCTAACAGTTCACCTGTTCTTTCTTGATTGGCCAGCAAATTCTATGTTGTATTCAAATTCTATGGTGTTTAGTATGTTTTACATATGCTGGATACTAGTTCTTTGCCTTCTCTGTTGTCCTGAATACCAGCACACAAAGTTGCATTCCTGTAGTGAGTAATAACTGATTATTAATGATTTGTACTTGTAGTTTTAGGGCCCCTATCCTATACTTGCACTTTCAAGGCTTCTGCTGTTATCTTGCTCTTGTACTTTCGGAGGCATCGGTTAAAATCCCCTGGTTTTCTTCAACAGCCTTCAAGCTATGGTTTCCTGATAACATGACATATGTTTTATTAGCACGTATATATCCTTTTTCTGGAGTCACTCAATAGCTAGTTCACTGTACAAAAATAATGGTCCATTAGAAGACATATGCAGGGGTATGTGTAGACACAGATGTGATGCTGGACACCATCCACTCCCAAAATGTATTGCTTGGAACAGCATCACTAGTGTGTTACCAAACTTGTTTTGCAATGCACCTTTGAAAGGAGAACTGCTGAAGTGCCCATACATGGTGGCAGCACCATGTGGGGTTGATCCTCCTGCGGTGGTGAGGGCAGGACTGGCAGTGTTCAGTGGTGTGGTGGAGAAACCTCACCATACTGTGAGCCTCAGCTCCGCGGGGAGGGTCTGGCTGAAATACCTCTGGCCCTCAACCACGCAGACATCTCGAGAAAGCAAAGGGCAAGTGGCTGATATATGCTACTGTAAAATTGAAGTTCCTTGCTAGTATCATCCCACAAGACTGATCTCTCAGCTCTGATAGATCTAAGTAGGGATTTATTTCTATTCCCAGAGCTCAATTTGAAAATTACACATGCTTTCTGATAGGTGCAGCTTTTGGGAAAAGAAAATGAGGGGAATTATGTTATGCATATTAATGAGACTGTCCTCCAAGGCTGTTGTGAGGATAACAGCAGCATTCTAGGACTCTCTCGCAGGGCTGAAATTGCAAGGAACTTTTACAAGAAAAAGAATAAATTCAGCCTAAATTTCAATTTCTCTCTGAAGTATTGAGATGGAGTTGTTCAAAAAAGGACTGGAAAACTGTTATACTAATGTGACTAAGCAGTCTGCAGCCTTTTTGTTGGGCAGAAGTACCATGACGTGTTCAAGGCCAGGTTGGATGAGGCTTTGGGCAACCTGGTGTAGTGGAGGGTTTCCCTGCCCATGGCAAGGGGGTTGGAACTAGATGATCTTTGAGGTCCCTTCCAACCCAAACCATTCTATGATTCTATGACATTGCGTAACCATGTGTTATGTCTATCAGTGTGTGCGAATGTCTCTGTGCATACACTAGTATGGATACTCTACATACAAATTCATAAGTCCTATGGCCTTGTAAGGACCTAAGCTTAGGTGCAGATATTTTAATGTATCTATGGGCATTGGGCTTGGTCTGAAGTCTCCCATTTCCCAGGGAGTCTTCTGACCACTAATGTGTCTGATGAGTTATGTGCATGCTAGACATCACAAATGTTATTTATTTATTTAATTTTGCAATCAACCTTCAAACTTTTTCAGTTTACTTTTGCCAGTCCTTGACTGCCTTCTATGCAAGACCAGATGGCAAGCCTGGCCATACTACAAAAAAAAACCTGTGCAAAATCTGCAGCAATATTTCTAGGTCATTTCTGATTGATCCACACAGCAAAACAAATGCAGGACAGATGGAAGGAATTGGTGATTAGTTTGTGCATGGGTGATGGACTAGAGCAGCTTGGGGTGTTACAACAGAGGTGTTTTTAGCTTGGAAGATGTTGCTTTCTAGGAGGTTTAGGGGACTGGAGCAAATAAGGACTTTAAGGGTGTCAGTGGTCCTAAATTATGATTGAGAGATCCAGGTCAGCTTAGGGTCTAATGTTTTATGACCATTTAGTCAAACTGCATTTAATTAAATCAATTAAACATAACAGGTAAGGTATTTTGCTCCCCCTTTGCAAAGGAGGAAATTAAAGGTTATCTTTACTTGCTTTTCAGCATACTTAGATACATATGTGTAGACCACATATGTATCTAAGAGCATTTCAGCATACTTAGATACATATGTGTAGACCAGTATGAAAGAGCAATTGCAGTTGTATGAAGTCTGCTGGGCTGAAGAGCTAATTAAAATTATTTTTGAAAATCAGCACCTCAGCTGAATGAACTCTTGCATTTTGAATAATAGATTACAACTTTATACTATTATTCATTTGCTCTTTCTAGTGTTTTACACACATGAATTTTCAAAAGATATTTGTCTGTGTGTGTGTTTTAATGTGTGTGGCTGTATCGAAAGAAGCTGAAAGTGAATGGCTTGGGGAAGTTCCTGGAGTACAGTTGTTGGTGGGAATCTTGGCACAAACTTCAGCTGGGCTGTAATTTCATCCTGGTCTTTTGGAGTGGATTTAACTTTTTCCCCTGAAGTTTCACAGGCACAAAGTTGGTGTTCAGATGATGATCTGCTGCTGTTTGTAAAAGCTTTTAGATAAGACAGAGCTTATATTGCACAATAATCAGCTAATCCATATTAGATTACTGTGATAGCTATAATAAATCAGGATATGAAGATATGCTGAAGATCCCTATATCTCATTCACTGTTCATTTCATCCATCGTAGACTAGCCTTGTTCTCTGTCTCGAGGAGAGAACAATGTCTCTTCTGTGGTTTGACTTCAGTCTGCCCACAGAAAAGGAGTTAAGGAGAGGTTACGCAACCCGGGCTGTGTTTTCGGATGGCCCCTATCACTGGCTGGATGAGCGGCTCTAACTGTGCTTTCTCTCTGTGTTAGAGCTATATTTATCACGCAGGAATTGTAAGCATGTGAATTTGTGCTCTGACCAAAACAGCACAGCAGTCAACATGTTTCTATGGTATGACGCACACCCTTGTTATTTTGCTATTATTTATGCATATATTGCCTTTTCTGTCCTTTAAACAAATAAATAAACGGCCTCAAAAGGAACTACTTGATATTTCAGGAGTGAGGTTTTTCTCAGGGTGTTGTTTTATTAGCGAAGTGACTTACATTAGCAAATCATTGGAAGAAATGGTAATGTGAACCCGCATATTCAATTTCACTTTAGCAATCTGTATTCCAGAGGGAAATCCTGGGAAGCAATCACTGACAACGGGACCTCAATTTAAATTACAAAATAGGCAGTATGCTGAATGCATATACAGCATGTGAGAGATTAAATAAGAGCGTTCATTTGTCTTCATAAGGTAACCAAGACAATAAAAATGTGCTCTACAAGGACTGTAGAAGCTCTGGTAATGAAAACAATAATTAATATAATTTAAGTTACTATCCCTGGGGCAGTTGTAAATTGATGATATTAATTATGCAACAAACCTGTTTGTAAATTGATGACATAGGAAGCCATGGAAATAATCTAGAATAAGTTTCTTCTTTTGAAGGTATTTGGCAATGTATTATTCAGCAGCTTATAGACCCCAGAGGATATTCAAAGGTTATTTATATTAAACTCTCTAATTTATATTCTTCAAAGAACTAAGTAACATGAAAGGATGCAATTAAAAACAATAAATCATTTTGTTGTGCATAAAGTTGATTACATAATACAAACCAGAATTCAGTAGTATTAACTTGAATAGACATCTCACATGGCATTTTTCTGCCACTGTAACTCTATTGATTCAAATGAATTACAGCAGCAGGGACTGTAGGACACTGCATTCCTCTGCTGTTACTATCGGGGCTAGAGGAAAGATGATAATCGTCAAGAAAGCTATATATATATTTATATATATTTTTGAATTTTAAGGTTATTTCTCTATTATTTACCTCTACATGTCAGGGTGGCTTTTAATAGATGCTGAAATAAATACTGAAAGTCCACCTTGTTCATTTCTTTCAGTTCTTCAAGGATAGAAACATCAGCCAGAGAGATACAGTAAATGAGATGAGTATATGAAAACAGGTGTAAAAATCCTGGTTGAGCATTGTTTGCTCGTTGTCTAGGTTTCTGTGATGCATCCTAGATTGCATGACCAGTTTTACTTGCTAGAAGGTCCTGTTTTCCACCCACTATGAGGGAACCTAAGTGGAGCACATTCCTTCATGCTGGCTCACGCAGTATCTGACAACTTAAAACTTTCTGAAATGCAGTAATTCTGTTTGCTGGTTTATACTTTCTAAACTGCAGGAAAAATAAAACACACTAGGGGAATATGAACAATACCATGCTTTGATAGCATCTTCCACTTGAAAAAATATTCTAGCTCGCACATATTTATATATGTTTTCCAATCTTAGTTTTAATTTGCAAGGAATTTTGATGGTTATTTCCACAACATGTTTAGGCCAAATACAGCAAGGTTTTCTTTCTATATTCTTTATTTTTTTCCACCAAAGCAATAAAATTGGCAGTGCAGGGTAAGACACAGTACAGAATTAGATGCTGGCAAGATCTCCCCATTATTATGCAATGATCTGGAGCTTCATAATTTGGCTTTTTGCTTGAATTTCCTCATTACAAATATGCAGAAAAAGTACGGGGAGTTTAGCAATGCTAGCACATTTGATTGGGATTTTCTCTTAGTCTGTTTGTGTGAGGGTTTGTTATTTGCACACTTTTTCTTTCTCTCTTCCTTTTTCTTTTGTAAGGAATATTCTGTGCCCTGACACAAGAATACTTACTGATACAAAAAAGCTCTTATGTCAAGTGTCAAACAAGAGTATGATGAGAGGGTGAGGTAGAGGATGAAAGTGTTAGTAAAGTCGACTGCGTTTCCTGGTTAGAGAGAGAAGATGAAAGCCCAGCCATAGACCTGCGGGAAAGAAAAGGGCGTCGTTAGCTGATTTCATGGGAAACTCAGGTGCTATGTAAGACTGTAAGGAACGGTGTCAGCTGTACAGAAATCACCAGTGCCAATATGATGGGTGCTCCTGCCTCTATGCAGGTGATCCTGCTTCTTGAAGAGCACCTTCGGGTACAGAAGGTGCTGGGGTGGAGTTTACATCCCTGGCTGCATTGTAGGGACGGAAGGCTGCTCACTAATGAGTATGTCCTTGAGTACTGGTGTCACTCTGCTGAATGGTATCAGGAGCAAGGACTAAGTGTTTAACGTGCCAGCTACTAATATTTTAAAATGGTTGCTTTGTGAAAAGCAATGATCACACTCGGGTATCTGGGCTGCTGAGATGGGCAAAGCTATGTTGTTTCTCCCTCACACACAATAAGATTCAGAGCTCCTGGCGTGGCAGAGCAGTCAGCAGCCACTCTTTCACTACTGATTCAGGCTCCGTTGCTTGGCCTATTGTGAGAAGTGGAGGTGGGGGGAAGTAGGAAACCACCTTGTCACTGCACCCTTGCAGCACACACCTCTAACTGGACAGCAAGCCTGCAGTGTAATGTAACCTGCTCGTGTGAGTTTATGAATGTGAAGGTCTGATTTCAGAACTGAGGTGGCTGCCATTTATTCAGATTTTTCATGCTCAAATTTCAAAACACCTTATTCTTTCAGAATTGGAGGTGAACACATAAATTTATTCTGAGTGTATCTGAGAGAGAAGAGTTCTTCTCCTAAATTGTAAAGAAAACAGCAGCTGGCAGTATTTGTATAAATAACCTGCCTGTTTTGCTCAGGCCACCCAGAAGACAGCTGTCATTGGAAGTAACTAATATTTGCTTAGAATTTTTTAAAAACTGGGAATCAGTGTCTTTCGGTTTTAGTGTTCCAGCTACAAGAAGACTGAGTCATGTGAATGCATTCCACAATCCTACTCTGTTCCATAATAGCTATTTATTTATGGATGCAAATTACAAAGAAGCATAATGAGAGCCACAGCTCTCCAATTTGTTTCACTTTAAACAAGTAAGCCCCCCCCCCCCAAAAAAAAAAAGAATCAAAGCAATGGTCCTGTTTTTCTCTATGGTTCAATACAGTTCAAGGTTCTGCACCTTAACATTCATTGAAAACACAATTAACTGCCATAAGCTTTAAATCAGATGATAAACCAAGGGAATATCTATATGTTCCATAATTTTGAATCAGAAAGAAGTATTTTTCTACTCCAAGGAATAGTGGGAAATTCATTGTATCAAGTTCAGCGGTTTGGGGTGCAGTTCTTTATATTTACCTTGCCATGGCCTTTACAGTTCCTCACCCTGATATCTGACAAAGTAACAGAGAGTTTTGCCATGGTGTGGACTTCTTTTACCTGTCCAGTATCACCTGTGAAGGGAATGGAAGTGATGGGAGAGCACCGTCATAAAATCGAGCATTTAGGTGAAATTGTCTTGTCTTAGTCTCTCTTCTCTTTCATGCATTCAGGCCCTACATACACTGTATTAATGAGAATGCAAGGTCGGGAGGGATAAATGAGAAGACAGACACAGAATTAATTGGTGTATGTAGCTGAATGGCCCAAAGAAAATGGGAAAAAATCCTTTCCTTGAATCAGAATTCATCCCAGATGTTGTTCAGAATTAGCTGCATTTACATTAGAAAATGTAACTGTATTTTGCTTTTGTTTTGCAGCAAAAAGGTTCTTCCAATTTGTTGTAAGTTGTTAACTAAATACTCTAGGGGCTATATTATGTCCAGATACAGTGGCATAATTACATTGTTGTTCTACTAAAGTGGAGTTAAGCAAAGATAAAAACAACCTTGAAATTAATTGACTCTGGTTTTCTGTTTCTGGTATGGAAAATGGAAAGAATAACAAATTATTGAACAAATTTTCTCCTGTCTGCTGTGCCATGCCATTAGAATATATAGGATGATGGTAGATATAATCAGGGCAATATTCTGTTTGTTAAAGAAGAACTTAATATACAATGACCTGTCAAAAAAAAGCAGTAACCAGTGCAGTTAATTATAGACTTGTAAGTTGTGTAAATGAAGTAGTTAATGTTATTAAAACTCTGACAAAAATAATTTTCATTTGGACGAGTAAGTTGAACTTATTGTGTGTTTTTTAGGTCACTTCTCAAGAATCTGGAACCAAACCACTGACCTTCACATTCGTACCATCCATTGGAAGACTTCCAACTCATTTTGAGGTGGTAGATGTTTCCAAGTTCCTTGTGACAATTCCAGAGGACCCAAAGGATCTGAGCAATCAAGAAATTATCAATAAGGTAGATTTTTGTTTGTGTTAATCTTTCCACTCATTCAAAAGATACAGAAAATTTTATCCTGAGCATCGCTGAACTGAAGCTCTTCCCCTTGAACAGTTTCTTGGCTTGTGCTTCGTTTTAATTACCAAGCCTACCAGAGATACAGAATCATTGTGCAAGAGAAGGCTGATTTCTGCTCAAAAGCCTGTTTTGCCTTTGGCAGTGTTTATATTGGAAGGAATCCCTTGCTCATCTCAATACTGTCCTCTGTCAGTCATGCAAGAGCTATATTGTTGGCAGAGGAGAAGGCATTCCTTCCTGATCTTCATGGGAGCAAGGATGGTGTGCGAGGAGTGTTACCACATGGGAATCAAGCAAGAGTTGGTCACTAGATCCTGGTTTCAGCAAATGCCAGTGCTGTGGCTTCCAGCAAAGGTGCCAATCCCTTTCATAGCTGTGTAGTAACGCATCAGAGTGAAAGCTCGATTTTGTTTTTGAAAGCTTGTCTCATGATTTCCTGTGACATTGAAGCCAGCAGCACAATATTCCTGGTTCTTCTGCTTTTAGCCAGCCCACAGTGTTCGTTATTCCTTTCCTGCCTAACAACACTTAACAACCTCTTGTTTTATTTTATGTTGCTTGAGAGGAAACTGGAACCCTCAGATTAATATTAATGCTGATGGTGATTTGGCTGTTGTGTAACAGCTCCTTCCCTGGGGCATTACTGGGGCTGCAGTTCTTGGTGTTAACAAACTTTTCAAGGAGTTCAGAGTCCTCTAACCTGAACATGCTCCAGCATTTTTAGTGGCCTATCTGACTCAAAAGGAGTTGTTCGGGGTGGAGAATGGACAAGTTTGAAGAGACAAGCACTGGAATATTATCTGTAGGTTGTTTAACTTGAGTTATGTTTCCAGCTGCTCAATGTTGGTTTTGCTGTAAGTAGTGTCCTGGGTAAGGCACAATCCGGTATTCCTGACCTCTGCCTGCCTGTGTTTCTCTGTGGGCAGAGAAAACTTTGCTGGCAGGTGATGCAGTACTGAGCCTTTCATATCCCTGGTCAGTCCCTTTTCTAAAATGTCTAGAACCAGAACAATATTTTTAAAAACATCAGATAATGAAATTAACACCTTCAAACTCAGACTGGTGGTGTCCCCCTTTATAGTCCAAAATTTTTTTAAAGAGCTGAGCTCCAGGGACACATGGAGCTGCCAGTGGAAATTTGTCATTACTGTACTCCTCAAGAAGAATTCAAATATGTGCCCCATCTACAGACTTCCTCTTGCAGTACATAATCTTTCTGTTCTTTTACTTGATTCTTCCTTCAAAAGAAATATGATTTACCATAAGAGTTTCAATATTGAATGGTTTGGTGATGTGCGTGTTGTATGCCCAGCTTGCACTACTCCTGCTCTCGTCCAAAGTGTGCTTGAGAAGTTACATACTGGAGTTGGAAGTTGTGGAAAATACAAAGAACAATTATGGTTTGTTCTGAGAAACTTGAATATACAGTAAAGCCCTTTGACCTCAGATTCTTTGTCTGCTCTCTTCAGAGAGTCCCCTGGCTTAAAGGCCTTTGTTTCTTCATTAATATGTATAGGTTTTGTCCCAGATTTTTCTGTCAGACTCCTCTGAGGAGCATTGTCCGCTCCTGTGGATCCTACAGTAGGGAAGTCTTCCCATCCTGTCTGGCGTAGTCTGGTCTGACAGCTCATTCGGCTTGACTGCACCCTGCTTTTCTGTTCCTGTGCCAGCCCCAGGCTCGGGCTATCGTTGTGCTCAGTCCCCTGTTTCTCTGCAAGTCGTCAGGAAGGCAGTCCCTGCAGCATTGACGGGGGGGCTGGAAGCAGGAGAGTTCCCTGGGGGGCTGATTTCTGCCAGGTCCTCGTGCCCAAATTCTTCATTCCCCCTCTGCCCTTTTGGTAGTGCAACGCCAGCCACTGCTGCAAGCCAAAATTACTTCGCATTTTGAGGAACACAAACAAAATGCAGGTAATTGAGATCTTTTTCCTTGTATCTTTTGCAGTTTGATACAGTCTCTGATGACCTGGTCTTGAAGAGCAGGGCCAGACAAGACTGTGTGTCCGCCGTCCGTACAGACAGCACCCGAACGGCTTTCCAGTCCCCAGGGTGTAACTCCAGCAAAGGAGAAATGCAGGAGAATGACCTTTTTAAGGCTGAGTTTATCCTGATTACGGACTCCGGTGATGAAGATGAGGTGGCTGCTGCCTCGAACAGTGTCCATCGGCCTTCCAATGGCTACGGTCCCATCAGCGCTCAGCTGCTGGCCACGTCCCACGTTTCCCCTGGCACTGGGGCAGGGAAACCTCCTGGCAATGGGCACGTTCCAGGTGCTGCACTTTCCCACAGCACTGCTGATCTGCAAAAACATCAGGTAATCTGCTCTTTAAACTCTGGAAACCTTGGCATTCTAAAGCTTTCAGGACATGTGCACTACTTAGTCAGTTTGTAAAGCCACTTGGACAATTTGTTCTATAATTAGCATTTTCGTTGGCCATTCCTGTAATGTTTGGACTTCAAGGAGCTGTCCCAGCCCTTCTGACTTACTGCTTCTCCCTATGGCTCTGGTGTATAAATGGAGCAAGTAACGCAGATCCATTGTTCTTTCCTTTAAGAGTGGCTCATCATGACAGCGAGTTAATCAGAAGGTGTTAGATTTTTAGCTAGTCTAAATTGGCTAAGGTCATTGAAATCAATGGAGCCTGTAGATCATTCGAATTATTAGCATCAGACTTCCCAGGCCTATTTTTTTCTTAGCACCTGCTACAGCCCTTTATGCTGGACAAAGAGGCTGTAAAAGCCCTGCTATTCTGATTGTTAGTTAGCACCGACTTTGCACAGGTGTAAAGAACTAATGAAACTGAAAGGCTCGTTTAATGTTGATCTTATAGGGCACATTGATTGATTTATTGATATTTTAAGTTGCTAATGGGAGAATTGAAAAAAGAGTCTTTGAAATGTTTCATTTTCAAAATCCAATTTATTGCATGAAATGTTAATATCTCTCATCTTGGAAAGTGCACTGATAATTTTCAAGGATGTATATGCAGTGGAAAATGCTACCTTTAGTAAAATAGCAATATCCTTCTCACATGGAATAAATGCAGACATTTCCTTTGACCTCAACAGAGTTTCCATAGGTTGAAAATGCCATTCTTTATTGATAATTTAAAAAACATTTGAGCATGGCTACTTTGTATCTGAAAATGAATAAGATTTCTTATCTTGTGTTGAAATACTTGTCATACACAATTTTTCATCAAATTCAGTACCAATTTTTGATTGAGGAAATTGTGAATAAGAAATCTGATCTGATTTGTGATTTACAACATTATGAAATACTCATTTCTTCCAAGAAACTCCCAGTGAAGTTAGGGAGAATTTTTCCTGAGTAAGGTGTAAAGGCATATATAAATCTATGTAGGGGAAGCAGCTTGTAAGAGAATAATTGTCCTAGGGAAATACAAACTTACTTCAGCAATGTCCAGCATGCAGATTCTGCCTGGCTTACTCGAGTGGTTTCTTTAAAAGCTATTATGAATATTGGGTGGATTTTTTGTAAGACTGTGCAGAAAAATTCGTATGCTGTAGCTTTCCTAAGCTTTTGATGACTTGACAAGTAAACAGAGATTTGCCTGGTAAAAAACAAGAAAATACAGAATGCACAGAACAAGGAATTAAAGCCTAACTTTACTAGATATTCACCTGAATGTGAAGAGAGATAGTATGTCGTGTGGTTAGTGCATATCTCATCATTATTCTTAAGTCACAGTTTTTCAAGACTGTAAGTGATTCTTCAGCCTTCATTTTCTAAATATCTCAAGCTGTCTCTATCTCTTCATAAGAAGACGATGTTTTTTACCAAGTTGCCTTCACTGATGTTCTAATTCTTCTTTGGTGTTTCCTTGGGCATCACTCTTTCTGGCTTGCTATCTAGTGAAGTGTCATCTGTTCAGAAATGAAGGAAAATTATGAAATCATAGAATCATAGAATCATAGAATGGTGAGGGCTGGAAGGGACCTTCAAAGGTCAATGAATGAAATGATGAAACAGATGCATTATTTATCTCTTGGTAGATTTCCCATGTACAAAGGATTCCATATAGGGACTACCTTGTCAGTTCTAGGATTATAACAGCAGTGTCATGTCCCACTTAAGAGTTATTACATATAACGTGTTCACTTAAAAGCATAGTTACACTATGTGTTTCCTGTCAGAGATGGAAAAAACGAGACCAAGCATTGGGAATATTGTGTTGTAGGGGATCACGCTAACTGAACCAGAGGGCTCCTGTACCTTAATTAATTTCTGACTTTGTTTAAATGAAAGAAAGAAAAAAAAAAGCTTTAAAAAATGGAATTTTCTGTTGTTCTTTGAGGTGTAAAGGTCCTGAGTGATGCTGGAAATTCTATGCCATATTCAAAGTCTGGGGAAAAAAATCAATTAAAAAAAATCAGTTATTTAGTCATATTTGGAACTTTTTGGTGATAGTGTTCTGTTTATACATTGTGCTTTTTTCTGTGTCTTCTTTTTTCTTTTTTCTTTTTTTTTTTTTTTAATCTTAAATTGAGTCTAGTCATGCGAGAGAGGCAGACTGACTCCTGCCCTTGGGAGTGTACTCTTTGGGGTGAGAGGGGATGCCAGGACATTAACTCAGCTTGGAGAAACTTTTTGACTCACTGTGGAGGATTAATAGCTAGAAGGTTTTTTAGCTAGCCAAGGTCACTTGGCATTCCTCTGTCCAGTGTATGTCATCTGGTTTGGCTTTTCCAGACAAATCAGTCAAGAGTCCCTACAAACTGTTGCCATCACCAGGAAGAATGCACCTTTCTTGTTGGGAGAAACTGATCTGTTCTGAACGGCATCAGTATTAATTGGATTCCAGCTCGCAGGCTGATTTACTGTGGTGTCTCCAGAGATTTTGTCAAGTTTTCCAGTGTTTCTTTCTGGCTTCAGGTTGCAGGCCATGGTAGGAAATTGTCTTTATTTTTTCCTATCTATAATCAAATTCTACTGAGATTAAAGCATGCTTAACTGGCTCTAGGACCAGGTCTACATCAAACCACATCCTCTCTCAGATACGATTTTTGCTTTTGAGCTCTCCATTTGTCACATTTCCCTTTTCCTTTTTGACCAGCACATCTGTCAGGGCCTTGCTGGTATAAGCAACCACACGTTTTGTGCCTTTCCAAAACAATATGATCTCACCAGAAAGATCAATTGCCTTGTGTCTAGCTCAGCTCTGCCATTTCAACTGTGCTGAAGGTCTTTTCAACAAGGATCAAAATTAAGATTATGACCTCTTTGATATTTCTGGGATCATCATCTATGAGGTAACAAGATCTTTTTCAAGTTCCTTGATCCTTTCATACCAAGGTAAACTTGCCACCTATTTCAACTTTATATGTTTTTAGGAAATGTATATGTGAGGTACTGCTGACAAGAGAAGGTGGCTTGTAGTTGAATCACAGACCAAAGTAACACAAACCTACTTCTGTCACTCATTTCCTCTGCACTAATCCAGTACAGCTGCAGAAGTCTATTAAACCAGTAGAGAAACTGAACAGAGAAAAGAAAGGCAAAATAAATCTCATTAATTGGTGGAAATTGTTATATCTCATCTACTGGCACTGGTGAGGCTGCGCTTGTAAAACCATGCTCAGTTTGGTGATCCCTCACCCCCAAATTCAAGAAAGATGCGAAGAAGAGAATGGAGGTCCAGCACAAAGCTATCAAGATGACCAGGACACATGTGAGCTGAGCCTGAAGTAGCTGGCTTTGTTAACTCTCACCAGGAGGCAGCCAAGGAGGTACGTAGGAACAGCCCACAACTACTTGAAGGGCAGTTACAGAGATGACAGAGCCAAACTCCTCTCTGCAGTGGCAGGTGAGACAGCAATGTCCACAAATTGAAGCACAGGAGGTCCCAGCTGGTCATCAAAAGCAGCTTCCTCACTGGGAGGTGGTGCAGCACTGACACAGGCTGCCTAGGGGTGCTGGAGCCACCTTGATGAGTGGCTTTAGAGACTTGGTGAGACACAGACACAGCTGACCTGACACCCTGGTGCTGATGAGAGCCCTGTTTTGAGTAGGAGTCTGGACTAGGTGACCTGGAGTAGTCACTTTGAACCAACTTTGATTTGATTCTCTGGTCCTGTAAATAAGAGGGTGATAATTTATAGATGTAGTTAACACTGTATTACAATGGCAAAATCTTTTCAGAAGACTTGAATAATGGCTCAATTAGCTCAGCACGTAAATGTCCAATGGTGTTCCAACTGGAAGAACACTACAGCAAAATGTCTTTATCATACTTGCAGGAGCACGTTTATCATCTGCTACTATGAACATTTTCCTAGTTGCTTAGAAATCTTTCTTATTAAGTTTTAACTAATTAGAAGTCATTGCACATCCTGCTCTTTCATTATGGAGTTCCATATTCATTCCTCATTTTCTTTTAATCTGTTGTTTTTGTATGGGAAAATTATCTCTTTTATTTTGAAATATAGAGATTTAATTCCCTAGTTTTGTTTTAGTAGTCGATCAACTTCCAGAACTCATTATTAAACAGGCTGCTCCACATTATCGTACATATTATCATGCTACTTTTTAACTTGTTAAATAATTTTCTTTTTCATGATGTATTTAAAAACAATTTTTCTTAATGTTTAAATTTGGTAAATTAGTCTCAATTTCCAGTACATTTTCTTCTTCTTAATTAGCAGCTTTTTCAATGAGAGTCATAATTTCTTAATCCAATAGAATACATGGTACAATTGTATCATGGACATTTGTTTCTAGATTCTAATATTTGCACTGTATATTTCCATTTGCTTTCCACTTTGAAGTGAGACACCTTAACATACATATAAAATAAGGAGAAGTTAGTGTGGTTGTAAAAGCATTCTGTTGGTTGGTGTTTATTTCTATAAATCAAGGTATTGCCTTGTCTTTTCTGACACAGAAAGTATCTTCAGTTTACAAGGCTTGCTATTTGTTTGGTATGACCGAACCAGAAGAACTACCTTGTTTTAAGTTATACGGGCTAATAGGGTTCTGCTGCACATATTTAGCCCATGTTTACCATTTCAGGTACAGTTTAGCCTTTTAAAGCCTGTAAGTCTTGCTCTCCTGTCACAGCTTCTTCCAGCACATGCTCTGACTTGAAAGTTATATGGTTTGTACTTCTTTTTGTTGTGTGATGTATCAATATTGTATTATAGAATAATAAGAATAATAATAGTAGTAATAATAATAATAATTCTTCATCTCTTATGGGAAAGATATATATTAAAAATATAGAATTGATAATCTGAGCCAAAGCCATCAACAAATTGTGTAAGCAGAAACTGGTTGCTATAATTGTCTTTTAT